TGTAAAAATTAAGTCCTTTACAAGTAGAAATAATAATTTATAGTGAGATTTCCTGGTTTGTGAGAGGATCTTTATGGAAACACTCTTATCAGACGTTTCCATTATGAATTGGAAAGAAAAATTAATGTTTTCTCCTTAGGAAACCAAAGCATTCATTAGTATTGCCACTGAATTAGAATTTCTATGCCACTTTTCTTCATGCAGGTATGTGCTTTCCAACTTTCCATCTCTACCAACTTCAACAGTAAGCTGTAATCACATGACTGACTTCATGTGTGCTGGCTGCTCTTTGCAAATTCTCCCTAAAAAATATAAATGCCCAACTCCTGACTCTATATATCTATCAAGAAGTAAACTATTTTCAGGCGAAAGACCTTCATATTATGTTGCTGATGTGACTCTCTGTGGCCAAGTCACCACTAGTGCACCTATTCAAATGTGGTAATCTGGGGTGACAAATGTGTTCAAATTAACAACCTGCAACTATTGCTAGTAAATGAAATGGTGGTTTTAAGGTGATTGGAGTACTCAGTTTATCTCAGTCAGTTTGAAAAGAGGCTGCATGTCTCTCCTGAGTTTCAGCCTGATTAGTCAGTGTGGCCACTTAGAAGGCTAGAACATTCTCTTCCCTGCCTTTGCTGGCTACACAAAGGGGTTGTTTATATTGCTTTCCTGTACCCCATTCTCTCTTTTTGGGAATTAGCTTTTGCAGGGTGCACCTTAGGGGAACAAGGTAGAGAGAGTAAGGCTACAGGGGCTGCATTATGACCTTCGTCCTTTCTGATAATTTTTATCTCTCGCCTCTTTCATCAATAGGCACTGACGGCACATTCGACCTTTGCTTAAATGAGTGCATCAAACTAGAGGGCAGCATGGAAACTGTGACCCTTGAGTCCTCAGGACCTGGCACAGCCCTTGGCTACAGAGTTAGCAACCTAATGGAAGTTTGTTGAGTGAATAATAAACACAGTGTTGCTACCTGCACGGTATCATTCCCTGAGAACCCAGAGCACAATACAGACCTATATATTTTACTTTATATCAAATCTCTAGTTTCAAGAATGATCATCAGTGATAGACATTTACCTCTAAATGTTCTATTTTAGACTTTTAATGAGCATGGAACATCAAGGGGTTTGTCATTCATAATTCATATCTTTATCAATGCATTTAACAATTGCACAGGCTTTCCATTACCTTAGCTACTTGTGAAATAATTCCAGATAAGCTTTATCAGATTTCCTAAGACGAGCAGCTCTGGAAGAGTCTCTTTGCTTGAAATAGGCTACAAATGAGGTTGACATGAAGAATGTTCCTGCAGAAGCAACCTGGGAAGACAAATAGTGCAAGTGAATTCATTATATTTCACCTTCTCTCCCTCCTCTGCTCTTCTGATAATTCTGCTTCGCTTAACGTTTTGAATATTTAATACTATGCTAATTTTTTCCATTCAATGCCATTTCTATTCTAGAGAAAATTTTACAGAAGTCTTTCTGCCAATATTTAAAATAAATGGGGGTGGTATTTGGGACATTTACATTAAGTTTATTTTGAACCTCAAAAATTGTTTTACTTTATGGACTTTCTTTTAATGTTTAAAAGCAGTGACAACTACTAATAATGCATTCCCTTTTCTTTCTTCTCAAATTCCAATTTTAGGTAGGAAGAGAAAAATAAGATTTCAGTGGGGGAGAGAGTCATCAGAGTTGATGTACGTCATAATTGCCTTGATAGCGTTATTTGAACATTAATGCAATCAAGTGTGGTCAAAAACAGTATCTTCCAAGAATTTGAACACATAGTGACAGGGTCATCTCCATATATTATAAAAAATTAACATTAGTCTGTGATTTAACTTTCTAGTTTTTTATTAGGCTAAGCTCCCAGCAAAAAAATGTCTTCCTTAAAACATAGTATTCTATTTAAATTTATACTCACCTAAGAGCTTATTCAGGCACCATTTGGCCCGCTATGACTTGGGAAAAAAGAATCTACAGCATCTTAGAACATCAGAGCTGACTGAAATCATCTCATCTAAGCTCTAACTTTATTGGCAAGATAATAAAGCCAGTTTCCCATGTCACACATGTTGTTAAATATTAAGACAAAACTACACCCTTCCACTCTGCCAAGTACATTAACATTCTGGTATACAGATTATTTTTTCAGTTACTATATGTTTAAAATAGGCTCTCATCTTGCTCACCACCAACCTTGTAGTACAAAAATATGCACTTTCACATATAAATCTGGGTGACCCATAACCAAATGCTCAGTTCTCACCATATCATAGATTTTATTTTTATCTCTTATAAAAGTTGTGTGTGGGGGTGAACATGGTAAATATAAAGTGTATAAAGCTTTTTAGAACAAAGATTTCACTGATGGAAGCAATTTAAAATGTTTCAGCTAATATTTACTGTAAAGAGAAAGACTAAGGAATTCTGGAATGTTACATCTGTGTATTCTTTTCCTAAGGCTAATAGAGTTCATGTTTTTGGTGCATGTTTGCGTCAGTGATCATTTTGATGGGCTAGCTCTTTCTTCAGGAAACAAGTTAATGTAGGTCTTTTCCAAGATTACCTCATATTCAAAAACACCTCCGAGTTTTCACAGCAGTGAAATATTAATGTGTTTGGCAATATGCTAATTACTAATTTGGTTTTTGTGAGGAAATGAGACTTGCCTGTAGGGGGAAGGAAAGGAACAGTTGTAATAAGTGCAGCTGGAAGTGAGTTAGAAGAGAATTTCAAGGGAAGTTTTATAGGTAGAGAGGATCTTTGTGCTGTGGGACGTGGCTTAGTGCACATCCTATTTTAAAAAGTTCTGTTATCAGCACTTTCATAATCATCCTACTCAGAGCACCCTACTTTCCCACTGTGATTCTCCACCTTATCCTAGGCTGTTTCAACTATAAACCCTGGTAAAATCTCAACAACAAATACATATGCTATTTGTAACTTCTTAATCTATAAACTAAAAGAGTGTTGATTTAACAGTTACTGTATTTCTCAGAGGCTGGGTATTTGTTGTCTACAAAATTCAATAAAATATATTTTATGTAAAGCATAAAGTGATCTTTAGCAATTTAATGTCAAAAAGTTGGAAAAAATAATTCCGTTTCAAGTTCTCTGTAACTTCAAAATTCAACAGAATTCCTAAAACTTACCAATTAATGTACTTTTTTATTTGAAGAACATATTTTCTGAATTTACCTTTGGATTACTATTATTTCCCAGATTAATGATGACACACTACAGCTTTGTTGTCTAAACAGTTTTAGTTATTATCTTAACAATATTGGGGGGAAAGTACGGAGTGTCTGCATGTTATTAAAATTTCAAAAGTGTTTTATTTTTTCAAGACTTTTAGAACTGGCCAATGGAAAAAATCAAGCAACACTTGTAAAAAGTTCTTTTAATATCCTAAAATATATTCACAGACCATATATCTATCAGTATATTTTATTTTAGAAAAAGAAAATGTGAGCCAAAAACCCCAGAACTTGCCAGTAAGTTATATTTAGCATGTTTTCCAAATACTAACTTGAAGCAGAAAATTGATCTTCAACCAGAAATATTTCATGCATATAATTTTCTTTAAACACATCATACCTTGAAAATATCTTTGCTTCTCCTGTTAGAAAGAGGACAATAGAGTGGAAGACCCTCTCTCTTGAAAACAACTGGCAAACTATATAAGCTTAATAAATTATTATTGATTTAATGTGACTTAGGGAACTCTTTAAATTTGAAAAAGTATCATCTGGAGTAATCCTGACATGACCTTGGTATTAGATGGGTTTAAAGAATATTAAAACCAAAGACAGAGGTCCATGGTAACTGCTGGGATGAGTGGTCTCCTGATCATGGTGGTCAAGCACCATTCAACTGGACAGCTCTTCCTCCCATGTCCTCAGCCTCATTATCCTAGTAAAACCTTGTAAGCAAGAGACACAGGCTTGTTGAAGATGCTCTAGGTTCTTTTCAATCCCCTTAGCTCCATCTTGATCTTTAAACAGAAATAATTATGGAAGTGAAGAGACAGCAGTGTTGTAAAGAACCAAGCAATAGATTCAAGTTCAATGCCTGAGGGTCTAAATCACACCTCTACTATCATTGCAAAATTACTTAGCCCTTTTTCAATTTAGTTACTTCCACTTCCTTCATCTATAAAGATATGAGGTTGAACTAGGTCTCCGAGGCCTCTTCCAGTTCCCAAACCCTGTAATTCAAACACCCATAAAAAAACAAAAAAAAAAATGGAACTGTGCAATATTCTGTTTCTAAAGTCAAGTTGTAAAGGGTAGAGACATTTTCATTAACAAATGCCAGAAGCTACACAGAACTTTGTGGGTGCTCAATAAATATTAAACAATCAGTTTTATCTTTTATCTGCAAAATGGGATGAGTAATGCTGACTTGCCTCACAGAATTTCAAGTGAGAAATAATACATGAGAACAAAGCACTTTTCAGATAATGGAGTAATTCGAATAAGCAGCTTGAATAGCTCTGAGGTCCAGCTAGATGATGCAGGAATAAAGTGCCGTTTTCATTATTACATCTGTGAAATACAGCAGTCTTTTCATCTGTTTTGGAAGAAACAGTCATTATCCTTGCTTATCACCAAGAAGTCAGCATGAGTAATTTCTGTGCAAATGGAATTTTCCATATGATTTTAACATTTACCGCTTTTAACAAAATGCAGTTTTTATCTTTACCTGATATCAAAATGGAATCATATCTTGATTTAAATAGTTTAATGAGGCATTCCATTGGCATTATACTAATCAGCCCACAGAAAATGCCTTTTGAAATGACTGATAAGCTGCACAAATGAGAAAATTATAAATTTAATAATCCTCCTACTCAAAAATAATACAATTCAAGAATTGTTATTAAGGAAAATAATGTGTTGCATTCTAGTTTCTTGGAGCCTTCCAGAGTTTGTTCTTATTTGTAATTATGTTCAATTAATAACATGTGCTATATTTTTTTAGTGTTTCGACAAAAGGCAGCCAGAAGACAATCTGATGGTGACAAGTTCCCTGGTCCCAGGAAACAAGGTACTGACACAAACTTCAGTTTATTTCACTATCTCTAAGTAAGAATTAAAGAACTGTTATGAATATTAAATAAACTCTCTTGGGATAGAAATAAATAAGTGTACTTGACTAATTTTACTCTTAACTTTGTCTTACTCAAATATAATTTGCCATAATAAGATTAGTGCAAGAAAATTACTTTAATTAACAAAGGCAAGAAATGCCTTGTGAGAATACTTGTGGTGATGTTGATGATGTTATCAGGGCTCTAGGAACGTCAAGGAAGACAAATTCCCGAACATGCATCAGAGACTCTGCTTTCATAAACCTGTAAAGAGGAGCCTCTGAAATTACTAGGAGGGAGGGGCAGAAGATTGATTGCCCCCAAAATGGGACCAGTCTGGGTTTTCTGTGCTCTGCATTGAACTCCAATCAAAGATTATACCACCCCTTTCTCACTGTTTTCTTACCTTCAGCACTTGATCCAACATTTTTTGAGCAATTTGTCATGACAGGAAGAGCTAAAAACTGTAGCTACAGAGACATCTCATACAGGAGACTATTTTCCTATTGCTCGATGAAGAGGCAGCTGTCCCCAAGTTTCCCGTTCACAGTTGGTTCCTAGTGAAAGAGAGAATCTAGTTATTTATTATTATTATTTTTCTGATGATAAGGCCTTGGTTAAAGTTCAAAAATGAAAACCATAAAAGGTGGCAGAGGTGGTGCTAACACTGGCTAGCTCAATAATCAACGACGTGAGCAGATGCTTTTAATCTCAACCCACCTTTGAAATAAATTCAGTCCAAAATAATATTACCTTGAAATTGTTACTGGTAAATTATTGAGAGTGGCATTAAAATGAAACCAGGAAATTTTACAACAGCTACTAAACACTCCCATAGTCAGTCACCTTTTCTACCATGTGAAGATGGCTGGGTAGTGACTGTACCAACTTCTAACAGCCACTGAACCTCAGTGGGCCTGCTCCTAAGATGCCATGTATTGTCCTCTAAAAAAAACTGTGTCCCTAAAATAATTGATATTCACCCATGACTTCAAGTAGTCTTTCCCACGGCAAAAAAAGGTTCTCCCCTGATCATTCTTCCAGTTAAGTACATGGTGTTTGAATGCAACACACAATGAAGCTGAACTTCCAGCCTCCCATGAATCACTTGGATATTCTGCTAATAGATTAACGTGCAAAGATTCTATTGGACAATTTTCATTTGTAATAATCCCATATTGGGGGGTGGGAGGGCACAGTGATACATCTTTGTAAGTCTACTATTATTCTACCACTGTGCCTTTAGCTCTCTTATGCAGAACTTCATAGGAGATCATTGTGCAATTAGGATCAAACAGTCAATGCAGAATTAAACAAATTAGAAAAGATTCTTCCTCTGTGGACTCTCCCACATACCTCACAGAGCTTTGGAAAGAGTAAGGAGAGGGGATGCTTTGAGATCTTTAGGAGGCTATTTCCCTGAAGCATTTTTTATAAATTATTCAATTATCATGTTTTAATTAAATTCTGTTAGACTTAAGGGGGAAATGTGAAGAAGGCACAGGAGCTGAAGGAAGGTGACAAGTAACCAGTGTAATGAAGAGATCCTTGCAGTGCTTGATCTTATCAATTATTCATTCTAGTTGTTGCACAGAGAGCAATATATGGAAAGTCTGCCACTTGAAGCCACGAAGCCTAGATGAGATCGATAATTACCCTGCCATGTGTATAGAAAAAGTCACTCTGTGCCCAGAAAAAAATGGAGAGGAGAGAATAATAAAAGGAAATGAAGACCTAATTATAAAATTTTGAGGGATTAATATCTGTTCATGTCTTGTTACCTAATTTGCTTCATCATTGTCAATGATTACCAGATTTTTAAAACTCTTTAAGGGCTAGGATACTGAAATTTTTAATCGATTTTTTTTCTTTCTAGATTTTTTTTTTCTAGGTATTTAAATCCAACTTCTTGATGATTTTTTGATTGCTCAGTTTAGAGCAGTTTCCTTAGAGTCCTTTAGGGAACGCTGGACATCAGTAATTTAGCAGAATGGAAAAGAATATTATTCAATTTGCCAGGAGGAAAGAAATATAAACCTCACGAAATGTCAAAAAAAACCTCACTGATTACTGCAATCTGAGAAAAAGAAGATAATTAAGAATAATTGGGAATATTTTTTTAAATTAAAGACCTCTAAGTACTGAAAAGGACTTACAGTGTCCAACCATTTTTGTCTAAACCTTTTCAGATTATTTATGACCATCCAGTCCATAGGACATAGTAGGCAATCAAAATTGCTTATTCCTGAGTTAATAAATACTCTTCAGATGTCCTGGGATTTCATGGTATAATAGGAAAAGCAATACATGCTTCACCAATGATAATCTCTTTATTTCGTAGAAACAAAAGAGGCCCTTTTATTAAATGTTTGTCAGAGTGAAAATTTTCTAAAGGGACTATAGAAGTTCTCTAAGAAAAGGCTAAATTATTTCTTTCACTATATGCTGAAAGGGAAAGGGACTATGAGAGCCAACTATTTTCCCACTGAAAGTATGTCTCAGATGCCCTATGTTCACAACTGCCAAGGGATTGCCAGGAAGTTACACTATTGCTAAATTGAGGAATTTTCCCGAGGAACAGAAAAAAAAAATTACTTGGCACCATTTCCATGGAAACTCAATATAAGGAAAATCCTGAGGACTTTGGATCACAAATAAAAGTTTCCATCAAAGTACAGTTTTGAAATCAGTTTTCCCAAGTTGGTTTTGAAATTAGAAAATGCCAGAGTGATATAGCAGAATGTGCTGCTTTCACACCTCCACCCCTTCCCAAAATGGAGCCTCACAAGGTCTGTTCTTCATGTTGCAAGCCAGAGACCTGAATTTTGTCAGTGAGTTTGGAGTTGATCACAGTTTTGAAGTCCGAGTCATATTAACCAAGTTCATATAAGACTAATTTATAACTCCCAATTTCAACCTATTAAATCTATACATTCCAGTGACTAGATCCCTTCCCAGTCGCTAGAATGTTTGCATTCATTAGTCCCCTGCCAAATAATAAAGTGTCTATACAATAAAATCAGTAATTAGAAACCTACTGAGTAAACATTATCAAGTCGAAGGAGGCTGGAGGCATGTCAGGGCTGCTTCTTCAAGGACATAGACATGTCTGCTTAATCTTCCCTGCTCACAAACTCATGTCATAGTCTAGGGTGAAGCTTGCTTAAGTCTCCCAGACTTGTTACATTATTTTTCTCTGTTATATTTTTTTCTTGGACAATGCCAAGGGGCCTTTTCTCTCCTCACCAGAATAAACCCCATTTTATTAATGTAGCCTCACCTCAGACATTGTACATGGCAACTGATGAGGTTTAGCATTAACACCTTAGCTGCCACGCTGTGATCATGAGTCACATCCACAGATCTCAGCCACACGGCTCAGCACTGCACTGCATCAGGATCTGTTGTTGCTGTTGCTCTTAGAAGGCAAACCCTTTCTTTGAGGGAGGGGTAGGGGGTGAAGCGCATCCGCCTTAACCAGCTGCCTGTAGCGGTGCTTCCCAACCTGAGATGAGCATAAGCATTCTTTTTAGAGCTTCTAAAATGTGGTTGGCTGGCTGGCCTTAAACATGGACTAAAAGTAGAACATATGAGAATAAGCAATAATTTCAAAACCAACATACAAAAAAACAAAATCTAACGGAAAAAAACTGTTTCAGAAGCATATGGTGGTCAAATTTGGCTTCTAAGTATATTTCCAAAATAATCTGCACAATATAAATTTAAGTTTTGACATGTTTAAACCCATGTTTCATATAAAAATTCAAATCTCCAACCACTTTCTACTATCATATCACTTGCTACAAATACGCCTGCTATTATCATTTGTTAATATGCTTTCCATGTTATTTTGAGACACATTTCTCTAAAATTATAATTCTATCAAAAGTGGAAAAAATATATAAAGAGAATCATGTTATCATAAAAACAAGAAAATTAAGATACTTATTTGTGATAATGAATATTCAGATGTGTTTAATAAGCAGGCACTGAATCTTGTCTACTCAGTAACTCCATCTGCCTGGCCCCTGTAGGCTCATGAGTTTACAATCCCTGGTGTAGTGTCTGCCCACTGATTCTCCACTAAAGACTGCACGGTCACTACTGGCTGGCCTTCTTGGGGGTGTTCGTGCTCATGGGAAAGATATAATCAGAGAACATATCTTGTGTGTTCTCTAAGTGCCCAGTGCTGCAGCAGTTTGATAAATGTTAAATAATAAAATTTTCTATAAGTAGGAGACCTGGGAAAATGTGGATGGTATTACCCTTATTTGGGGAAAAAAGAATGCTGGTCTCTGAGGTATTTTCTTCAGCTGTTTTTGCCAGTGCTGGATATATTAAAAAAGAAAAGAGGGAAAATTATCAAAATGTGGTGATTTGTGCTCCATAAAAGGATAATGGACTCAATTCTCTTTTTCAGTATAACTTTCCATTTGCCATATTGTTCACAAAAGCTGTTTTATTAAAGTCATACCTGCAAAAACTCTTTTAAGAGCTGAATTCTTATCTAAAATAGTGATGTATCAACAGCTCACAGTGTGGCTTCTCGAAAGTACTTGTGAAGTCAAGGCATCAATAAGATGGAATTCTTAATAACAGTGAAAATAAAGACTGGAAAAAGCTAATGCTAGAGGCTGGAATTAATCCAATTAATTCTAAGATTGAAGAAGGAGATTGAAACAAATAAAACCAGCAGTCCACCAGCTGATCCACAGCTCTCACTCGCACAGATGCTGATTTTTAAATGTCTGCTCTCTCCAGCTGTGGGCCTTCTGTGTACATGCAGAGAGTGGCCCTGTGAGCAGGAAGGGAGGAGGAGGGATTTCATGTTACATTTTGCATCCTAAGAGCCTCAAGTAAAGCTCTGTGATGGAGGGATGGGATGATAAAGAAGAATTCTGCTGGTAATTTATACAGAGAGTTAGTACTTGCAGCTCTGTCAGTACATAAGGCCAAA